GCCCACGGTGGTACCCTTTGTTAGGTGCTGCGGCTCCTCTCGGAAGTTTGACACAAGAACAGTTGTATGTCCTTCTTGGAGAACCGTCATGCCTCGTGCGATGCCAATTCCTTGCTCAAGGAGCAGTTGGACGCTGCCTTCCAGAAGAGCTTCACCATGCATGGCTGCGTCGGTTATGACGGTGACGAAAACACTCGACCGCGGCAGTAGGTTCACATGGTCGGCGATAACTCAGATCGCGACTGACGTTGTGTTTGTCTCCGCCGGCAGCAAAACAGGCTTTCGCAGCGTCAGCTGGTTTGCCTTGAGGTAGATGACCGCGCCATATTCACAGAGAAAGTCCATTCCGAGGATAACGTCCCTCGAACAGTCTTGCAGAACGACGAACTTCACACGGCACGTCTCACCGTGAATCTCGATGCGAGCAGTGCATCTCCCGACTGGTGTGAAGAGGTGCCCTCTGGCGGTTTGTATTTGAGGTCCATCCTACGACGTCGTGACTTTTCGAAGGCAGCAGGAGAGCCTCCCACTTAAGATTGGGTAGTCTGGTCCAGTGTCCACAAAAGCTGACGCGTCGTGGCTGTCGATGACGACGTTTAGGTTGTTGGACACCGTTGCAGGAGCATCGTTTCGGTCTCTGGTAGCGTTCGTGGGGGCCCTTCGACGTTCGTGGAGGATCTTGGCGTCTGTCGTGATCAGCAACTCCACCTCAAGGGGTTGCCGTGCCTAGATTCCGCGGCGTGGAGCGAGGGGCGACAGGCTTTCACGTCAGGGACGGTGCATCGGCAAAGCTGGTTGTCGTGGCAAAAGCGACCGGAATTCTTGGCGGGACGCAGGCTTGGGGGACTGACCTTTGGTACGACTGCTTCTTCCAAGCTTCAGCGTTTTTAGCGAAGGGTAGCCTTCCGGGGCCGAGCACGTCGCTGGGACGGGATGTCTTCGGAGGGGTACACTCAATGGGCATAGAATGCAATACCCAGCACCTCCACCAAAATGTCACGAATGACAAGTGATGAGGTGGCGGATGACTGAGTAAACTGAACGTTTAATGGGGCGAACTTGTGCCCAAAAATAAAAGGAGAATAGAAGATAACACCAAAGCGTCGCGGGGATCGAAGTCGGCGTAAGAGCAGTGTCGAACGCTGGGGCGAGACTGACTTTGGCTCGCCACGCGGGGCCCCTTTTGTACACGCGTGGACTTCCGGAACAATCGGCCTAGAAGATTCGGCGCGTAGAACATTCTAACCTAGAACAAGCAACACGGTTCTCGAAATTAGAGAAATCTAAATTGAAAGAAAATAAAAGACGCGGCGCTCCCGGGAATCAAACCCTGGGCTACCGCACGAGAGTCAAGTGCGATAACCACTCGGCCACGCACGCGCTTGCTCGCCGACGTGCGTGGTAATATGTACAGTGGCGGCCTGCCCGAGGATGCACGTCTCGTGCAAAACATTCGGCAACGAACGCACCATAAATAATATGTGAAACAAAAGGAATAAAAAGTACCGTAAAGAGTTAGCAAAACAATACCAAACAATTGAACCCGTGCAGAACACCAAGCCAGCCAAGCGCTACCGCTAACTGCGCTCCACACTCCGGCAGCACGCCTGCGACACGTTGCGCCCCCTCGCAGTCACCAATCCAGTCATCGCTGAAAGAGCCCCCCCCTCTGCCTGTGCTTGCCACACTGCCCAGTATTCTAGTACACCATAGTGAGGACCTGCATCGTCTCCTTCCGACAGTGCAGCTGGTGCAGCAACGCACCGGTGCCACGCCGCATGAAGTCCCAGGCAAACGTAGTGCAGCCACACCGACACGACCATGCGAACGTGACACGGCCGTCGGTGCGGCGCAGTGCGGCGCTTAACATGCAACTGCAGCACACCTGCATTGCTGCAGTTCTGTGCTGGGCCATTAGACCTTTCTGGTAGTACTCGATGGCACATTAGCCCACTAGCAGGGTGCATGACTCCATGGTCACAATTATAGGCCAACAACATCCGACTCCCATTGAAATATATATTAGCTCATACTTTTGCTTTTCTGTATACTTGAGTAAACAAGGTTCAGTTTAAGCTCACCAGGTGGCAGCAACTTTTAATATTTTAGCATCCTCTTGTGGGAGGAACTGAAACCAGACCTTGCATTTCAAAGTTGGCACCATGACACATTAACATAGGTGTATTTTTTTTATTTAAAGTTCTTAATAAGCTTAAGATGGTTTACCTGTGATTCACAAGGCAGTGCCTTACTTGACACCTTGGATAAAGTAGCTGGCTGATCAGAAACCCTTAGGCATAAACAGTTGCTTTACTTTGCATGTAATAATGTGGTCGTGCTAAGCCTTATGGCAACTGGTTACGACTTACTGATATGACAAAATATAATTGCGCCCAACAAAATGAACAATAACTGAATTTCTAGAAACCCTGACATCAATTCTTAACACAATATGGTCAGGGGTGCAAGCCACTCCTCCAAGTACAAAAAGCAAACAACAAGTGCCTGTGCCACATCAGCAACAAATTGCAATAGAGATTGCTCTGGCACTTGTTGCTCCCTTCTGCAGAAGAATGAAAGCGCTTGCACAAAGGCCCCACCCTTAATCTCAAACGTCAATCTTTCAACTGACTTTGAGATTAGGAGTGCGACCCAACTGTGGAAATGGCCAGACACAGCAAGCTTGAAGTCCTCTTAAGAGCTTACTTGGATATAGATCCAAGCAAAACAGAGCAGCCGAAAATATCAAAAAGAGCCTCACGACAGAATACGACAACTGGCTGCAGAAGGAAGGGGCTCCCATCCACAACTTCCAACAGTGGTTCAATGAGAAGAACCACTTGCAGAAGTAGGTGGCCAGAGCCATGCTTGAGAGCTGGCTTGAGAAGCTGGAGCCAGAGCAGGCCAAGAGTGAGGCCAGTAAGGAGGTTGTTGACTAGCCGGGCCACTCAGGCGCATCGGCAAAGGTCAAGGGCAAGAACCCAAAGAAGACAGCTGACAAAGAACAGGCTGAAGCCTATGCTCAGCTACAGGCTATCCTCAAAGAGAAGGGAGCCCAGCTAGAAGCCCTGACACGCCGATTCAATGAGCCCACTCACCACCCACTGTTCGGGCAGCGTCTGCCACTGCCTGATGACAACAAAACACGCATATCAGCCAGCTCTTGGAGGTATTTGACCTGGTTGCCGGGGGGGACGCAGCAGAGGTGCAAGAGCACAGTTGGGCTGACGTGATAAGGCAGGTGGGAGACTACGACACTGACGTTGGGCTCTTTGAGAGCATCAACCAAAAGTTTTAATTTCAGGGCTTTGACACAAGGCAGGTGGCTAGAACCCTGAAGGAGGAAGGGCCCAGCTTACTGTACCGGCAACACCATGACGCTTCCTATCTCAACCGGCACACCGTGGTCATCATTGGCCTCCTTAGAGGGGCCCATGTGACCAAGATGGAGAAGGCTATGCGAGAGGAGTCAAAAGCAGACTTCAGGGCCCTGGTGGCTCACTACAAAATCAGGTCCTCCCCCAAGTAGCCCAACACTGTGACTTTCCCGTGCACCATTTCCACACACCCTGGCTTGGCCATGGATGGGGTGAAGGACACTAAAACCGGTCCAGTGCGCCTCTCCAAGATGAATGACCTGGTCTCTTGGTACCCTCGAGCCATGATGTTTGGGGCATTCCCCACCATGATCCCCAACAACGTGTCAGAGGTCACGGAGGTTCTCTTGTCAGCCCACCTCTTGTACCAACACAAGGTTTCCTTTGTGATAAACAAGGAGTATGGGAAGTGGGACCGGGCAAAGCAAAGGGAGAGCCTGGGGGGCTAAGCAAAGACAGCAATGTCCTCAGACTATGTGAGTCACAAACAATGACTCACAAGACTGGCAAAAGAAGGCTGGCTGCAGAAACACCCATACAGGAAGTCTGCCCAATTTGTTCAGGACAATGCTACAATGAAGGCAATCAGGGCAGCTGCAGCCAGGTACAATGAGCTGTGCTAGCACCGAAAAGGGGTTGCTCCTTCATAAAGTCCTTAAGGCCCGTTCACACACGTCAGTTGCATGCAGCTGCGTCCACAGCGACCGCTGCAACCGGTACGACTTTTGCAACCAGTGCGTGCTGCATGTACACACACATGGATCCGACTCATGCCGCTCGCCGTGAACAGCCAATAGAAAACCTGCCACAGCTTTTGCCATCAGCCAATAGCAAAAAACCAAGTCTTCCTTGCTAAAATGGCGGACAGTGGCATGGACGCGCACTCGTCGGGTACCTCACCGTCGTCGGCTCTTCCGCTGCACGAGCTTCTGCTTTGCGTGTTTTTAGAGTGCGTGCGAAGGTACATTGCTTGTGCGGGCAGGGGGACAAATTGGGCTTTGGTGGCGCGGTCGACGGCTGCAGCGCAACTGCTGCTCAGCCAAACAACGCGTCCTCCTCGGGAATGGGTTCGGTTCTTGTTCCGACCGCGGGAGACCTTCGGAGAATTTCACCATCTGGTCCGTGACTTGCGTCTCGACGACGGTCGTGATTTCTTCGCATATTTCCGGATGACACGTCAGAGGTGCGTACCTCAAACTTTACCCGATTACCTTTCTGCGGCGTCGCGGCTGTCCTCAGCCGTAATAAATATTTTTTTATTATATTTTATTATTGAGCGATGAGCAATGTCTTCAAAGACCCGTCGATTACCAAACTCGAGATTGCCGCTGGAATGGACCATTTTCGGTATTCCTGGTTTCAGCGCTTCGACATGAAAAAAACGTTCACGATCTACAAACTCGCGAGCGATCATGGCAGGTTTTCAACTCTTTTAAGCACGGTGGTTAGCACCTCATACCACCATTTCAATATTTTTTTTCCCCTTGTGGCATGGTGGTTTGGGTAAGAAACCACCAGTGCCTCTCTTTCTCGAGCTTCGCGCTGCTTACACCAGATGGCACTAGCTTCCTTGCGCGCTCCAACCACGCGGAAAAAAAGTTTTGTTGACGCTCTCCGGCTGCTATGGTGCCTCCCACGTTTGATCCCAAAAGATTTTACAAATTAGAAGGTAAGTGCTTACTCTACAATACTGATAACAGCAAAAAAGAAAGTATGTGAGTGTACAAAATATAATAGCCGTAATAAATATTTTATTATTATATTTTATTATTGAGCGATGAGCAATGTCTTCAAAGACCCGTCGATTACCAAACTCGAGATTGCCGCTGGAATGGACCATTTTCGGTATTCCTGGTTTCAGCGCTTCGACATGAAAATAAGTTCACGATCTACGAACTCGCGAGCGATCATGGCAGGTTTTCAACTCTTTCAAGCACGGTGGTTAGCACCTCATACCACCATTTCAATATTTTTCCCCCTTGTGGCATGGTGGTTTGGGTAAGAAACCACCAGTGCCTCTTTCTCGAGCTTCGCACTGCTTACACCAGATGGCTCTAGCTTCCTTGCGCGCTCCAACCACGTGGAAAAAAAGTTTTGTTGACACTCTCCGGCTGCTATGGCGCCTCCCACGTTTGATCCCAAAAGATTTTTACAAAATTAGAAGGTAAGTGCTTACTCTACAATACTGATAACAGCAAAAAAGAAAGTATGTGAGTGTACAATATATAATCTGCAAGAAAATAATTATGGCACTTCATTATGGCTTAGCGTCTCTGTGTTGCATGTGGTGGTCATCAGAAGTAGCCACCATGCCTGAAGTGACTTGAGCTTTCTCATTGCAAATCCGATGACCAGTGTGCTGAGGTCTAAAATGAGGTCTAAAATGTAGCCAAATTATGTAAAAAATAAAGTGCTCATTCTCATTGTTTGCTGTTACAGAGGAAGAATATGAGGACATACCAAGCGACTGCGACAGTTTTGTAGGAGGAGATAAGTCAAGTGACAGTGATTCCGACTATGATGCCAATGATGATTCTGGTGCAACTCCTCAAGAAAACTCGCCAATGAAAAGAAAGGACATTCACACTGTGAGTGACACCTCAGACACAGAAACGGATGACGACCCGCCAGTAACCATCTCAAAAATTCCCGTGTGGAGTGCGACTTATCGGATGTGTCCGCCACTCGCCTTTTTGTCTGAGCCTGGTGTTCCTAGTCACATCACGGACCTTGAGGACAAAAGTCCATTTGGCATTTTTAGTCTTTTGTGGACCCCATCCTGGATGCAAAGCGTGGTTTTTCAAACCAACCTGTATGCTCAGCAGGACCGCAAGTCATACACACCTGCATCGGAACAAGAGATGCGTTGCTTTTTGGGCCTGAATCTTTTGATGGGAATCAAACGAAGCCCAAGCTACCGGGACTACTGGTCCAGTGCACCTGACCTTCATGATCCATTCATCTCGAAACTGATGACAGTGAACAGATTTGGTTGGTTTTTATCACACCTTCATCTGAATGACAATGTCCTGCAGCCCCAAAGGGGTCACCCTGACTTCGACAGGCTGCACAAGGTGCGGCCACTTCTGACCGAGCTTTTAACAACCTTTGCAGACAACTACCTGCCCACGGAGTTTGTGGCGATTGATAAATCGATGATTAAGTTCAAGGGCAGGAGTTGTCTGAAACAGTACATGCCGAAAAAGCCGGTGAAGCGCGGCTACAAGGTCTGGATGCTGTGTACTGGGTACAATCTTAAGTTTGAGATCTATTCCGGAAGATCGGAAAGCGGCGTCCAAAAGGAGTTGGGCGCGCAGGTGGTAAAGAACATGTGTCAAGGCCTCGCTGGTAAATACCACCGGGTGTTTTTTGATAACTATTTTACCAGCTATAACTTTCTGAAGGAGTTGAGAGAGGCAGACATCTATGCATGCAAAACAGTCAACCAAACCGAAGACACTAGCCGAAATTACAAGCCGACAAATCAATGACAAGAGGGGACACAGACTATTCAGTGAGTGATGAGAGCCTGTGCTGCTTCAAGTGGAAGGACAAGAGAACAGTTCACCTCTTGTCGAACTTCCATGACCCGGCAGATGAAGTCGAAGTTGACAGAAAAAACAAGGACGGAACTGTCAGCAAGGTACCCTGCCCTGCAGCCTTGCAAGACTACAACCGCAATATGAATTTCGTAGACAAGTTTGATCAACTGAAAGGTCAATACCAGGTTGACAGAAAATCACGGAAGTGGTGGCACAGGATTTTCTTCCATTTTCTCAATTGCTGCGTTGTGAATGCGTTCATAATCTTCAAAGAACTTGAAGATTCCGAAAAGATGACCCTCAAAGACTTTTGCAGAAGTGTCATTGCATCATTGACTGCAGAAGGACAAGTTGGCTCTAGCTCTAAGCGAAAGTCATCAACCCACCAGACTGTCCAACTGAAAAAGTCAAAGCCCTACGTAGCCCCGATCATCCGTGACACTGAGTCCAAGCACCAGCCAAAGAAATGCACGTCACGGAGGTGTGCAAATTGCAGCACGAAAGTGCAACCCACAAGAACAACATGGATGTGCGAAACCTGCAGCGTCCCACTCTGCCTTAGGAAAGAAAAAAATTGCTTCTCGAATTTCCACAGGAAGTGATTTTGGATGCCCTTCGAGCATGGTGGTTACCTGAACTGACCACCCGATATATTCCCATCTACACTGATTTAATTTTCTCTTTTTGCCAGAAACGAGTTTTCTTGTCCGTAGTTCACTGTTTAATCAATAAAGTTCCGTTTTTTTGCTAAAACAAACTTCTGTGCCTGAAAGAGTTAAAGAAGTGGCCCATGTCGGCGCTCGTGTTGTGCACAGACGTGCATTACCAAGACTTCTCAAACCGGCAACTTCCGAAATATGTTAATTTAAATCAATATTAGTTCTGCGGAGCCGTGTTCCGAATTAACAAGGTGACTTTGTAGGTTTGGAGAACACGGTTGTGATGACTTAATTTGCTAGCATTCAACCAGCGATTTCATCGTAAAGTAGGACGTAAAGATGCAAATATTAGCATAATTAATGAGGTTGACTGTAAAATGAGCTGGCAAAATCGGCGCATATGCTCTTCGAGGGTTTGTTTTAGCGTAAAAATTTAAAGGCGTAGGTGTTGATTTTGTAAACTGTATCATCTGCAGATTTGACCACCTGCTGTCCCTGGTTGGGCCTCTTTTACAGAAGAAGCTGACCTCTTGGCGAAAGCCGATTCCCCGGCTGAAAGGTTGTCGTTGACAATCCGGTAATTTGAGTAATTTTATGACTACTAAGAACGCAACATTAAACTTCACCTTTGAAAGCTTCCTTAATTAACAAAAAAGAAAAAAGCTAATAGTCTTGCACTCCTTCAGCCACTGTCAGTTCATTTGTGTGAACTAAACTAAAAAAAGTGTTCTATTAGTTCAACATAGTACATACTATAGAATACCGTGCATCCGCCCATTCCACATTCTCTCGCGATTATTTCTATATTTTAAGTGGGCGTTTGCCCGGTATTTTACGGTACTTTTCTGCTTCACTCACAGCCAAAAATCAGATAGACATTTATTTTAGTCATCCCTTTTTGTCGGTAGAGATTTTGTAATGAAAATAAGGTATTTGAACCAGCTCTGCCACAGGGTGGTAGCGTCTTGGCGCCATTGGTGCCATGTTCGTGGTCACCAAGCAGCTCGGTGGACGTGCATTGTTGTGTTGAACTGGCCGGATATTGAGTCAATCAGTGCCACCTAAACACGGATTATTAATTTATTTCCCAGCGTATGTCTGTACGGGAATTATGCTTCTCTGGCCATTCATTTTATTTTGTGTCTCAATATGAGAACACACATTGCGAACCAGAATTTTCAAGCACGCCGTGTTTGAATCCAACAAACGCACAAAATGGATGCCCGTTGATCGAAATGTTGCTCAAGTTAGGTATTTCTCGATACTAATAGTTATCAAAATACAATGCAATACAACCGAAGCGAAGACGAATAGAGTGGTTTCGCTGGGTGAACAACAAAGATGTGAACAGCTCAAGAAATCATTATAAGGTATGTGAAAAACACTTCATTTCACATCATGCTTTGCTATGCTTTGAGGACGACTGATCTGCATAAGAAATGAAGTAAATCAGCTGTAGAATCCATGCCATTATCAGTCAGTAGTCAAATATTTACCTGCATTGCAATGATGACAGTGTCTAAATGAACTCGCTTTCCTTATGGCTCCCCTAACCAGCCGCGGATAACACAATTGTGGCCGTTGAAGGACTGGTACAACTTGAGCTTTTTTCGAGTCACAAAACTTGTCCGCAAAACAAGATAATTGAGAATGTCGCACGTGTAGGTACGCGGCCAGGTGTCGACGTTCACAACACATTCTTGCACATGCGATATAAATGTACCAATGTCGTCTCCCTGTGAACGTGATGCTGGCTAGTCAAGTTTTGTTTGTTTGAAATTTTGCGAATGGGTTTTGCTGTCATCACACCAGAGGGAAAACGCACCATTGCACAAAAAAGTCACGTGGAGGCACTTGTATGACATCACCTGAATAAAAACGCTGGTGTCGCAGATTTCACGCATACCAGCGATCCATAAACGTTTGCAGATGAGGCGAGTGCCTTGAGTGTTTTGACAATGTGTGAATATCTCCCATATGATATTCTTAGTACATCAAGACCAATGCCCTGACAGGACCAGGCAGGGAATAAGGACTATTGAAACTAGTAATGTGGCAAACTTTATGGGTTTGCAACATCGCTATATTCTCCTATCTTTAAAATGGGAGGTAGGTACCCAGACTTTTCAGAATTGAAAGTGCAAAATCATAAAATAGAGGTTCAAGAAACTGCAGTCAGGGTCCAAGTGTGGAACCCGAACAGTCATACTGACAAATACATTTGTATGCACATATTTACAGACAAGTACCGAGAGCCTCGACACCATGATTTCTGAAGAACCTATGTTGCTAAAGTTTTTAGAGGTTCATGGCTTGCAGGACCTTGAACTTCATTGAATTTGAACTATGAGCTCAGTCAACTCTACAAGTTTGAAAGAGTGAAATACTGAAACCTAGTTGTTTCTTCATTAAAACCACCCTCTATTAAACTTCTTTTAGATACCTTGCACATGGGTCCTAGCAGCTCATATGCTCGATGGGCTACCAAATCGGCCGGTCAACAACATCCTTAATTATCAGGGAGACGTGCCTGGCTCTCCACAAGGTGTTGGACCCACTATACCACCCTGCGAGTATGGTGGCAATAATTCTGCCGACACCACTATGTCTTACGACAAATAGTTTAATTTTAATGAGTTTATGTACATTTCAGTGACCAGAGCTTACGACATTTTATATCATTTCGGTGATGTTTGCTTAAGCCTTTTCCCAGTATGCTAACCTAGCTTGGCGAACACCAGGTGGTTCTAATGAAGCTCGGTGCAAGCCTGACATTATATTTCTATTCCCCGAGCATACCGAAGCAAAGTAAGGGGTGCCCGCACGCAGCACCCTTCGTTCGGAAGCCCGGCTTCTACCGTGGGTGGTCCTAGCTGTGAATGTTGCCATGTCCCACAGCCACCAGAATCTGATTGTGGGCCCAAGTATGGCAACGTGTGAAGCGAGGCTGCCTGGGAAGCAAATTATCATGTCAACAAAACGTCGCAGGACCCATGCGGCCTGCAAAGAGAGTATCTACGAAATGTTGCAGTGTCTACGAAATGTATTGAATGCAATAGAATGAGCTGGGGGGCAGTATTAAATGTCAGTTGTCAGTTAGCACCCTTCCTGTCTACCTCGTCCTTCCTTCCTTGTTGTTTTGCACTATTCTATCAATGTATTCAATGCAAAGTTTTTTACGAAATATCACAGTGCCTTCATTCTTTTTAGCTGCACAGATTCAGAAAAGTGCAGAGCGGTGAACATCCGGTATGTGTATTGACATAGGACCGGAAGTACACCACCATACACTTCTCCGCACCGGTGCAGCTAAAAAAATCCACCCAGTGTCGAGGAAACTTGTTCAGGAAATAGGAGGCGACGCGAAGGTGTTCACAAAACGTTTAACTGTCGAGGAAATGTGATTATGAAATGAGAGTCGCCGCAAAATTGTCCACGGAAGCAGTTTTGATGCAACGATACAAACCCCTCCAAGTACGCATTTTTTTCTCGCTGCTATTTTCTATTCTGCATAGACAACGCATCTACAGTAGATAAATTGTGAAGCCTCTTTTGTCTGGACAACAAACAAGACATGAATGTATAAACACTTTTTTTTACAGTTCATAAATCTATTTTTCGTTAAGCACTGCCCTTTCCATTCTCTGACACGTGTACTCTTTCTTTTTTGCTCCTGCAAGAATCGAAAACGACAAGGCTTTAGGAGTTGCAGGTCTAATTAGTGTTGTGTGGTATGTTGGAACTTAAATGAGATTAGCTAAGAGTACTTGATCAACTGCTCTGCAGGCCCCCAACACTGCCCAGTGGGAGCGACTTGCAGGGGAGTTCGAAAGGCTGTGGAATTTCCCGAACTGTGTCGGAGCCTTGGACGGCAAGCATGTGGCCATCCAAGCTCCACCTGGTGCAGGCTCTGACACATTCAACTACAAGGGGTTCCACAGCATCGTCTTACTTGCAGGCTGCGACGCCAGCTACAAGTTTACGCTGGTATACGTTGGGCAACCAGGGCGGTATAGTGATGGAGGCATCTTCAGAAACTCTGAAATGGGGCAGTCCATACTGTCTGGAGTATGGACTGCCCCGCCGACTGGACGGCTTCCCCGGACATCAACCAAACTGCCTTTCGTCTTTGTAGCAGATGAGGCCTTCCCCCTGCTCACCAACCTGATGCGCCCTTACCCTAGGAAAGATCTGAAGTTGAAGCCAAGGGTGTTCAACTACAGACTTTCCAGGTCGAGGAGGGTCATTGAAAATGCTTTCCGCATCCTAGTTGCACGTTGGCGCACCTTCAGACAACCAATCCAGGGGTCTGAGGAGACCCTGGATGCCATTGTCTGGGCATGCGTCAACCTGCACAACTACTTAAGAGTTTGCAATGAAAGCGAGCAGGGGGAACGTCGCTACTGCCCTGCTGGTTATGCTGACCGAGAGGAAGCGTCAGGGTCCATAACTAACGGTCAGTGGAGGGCTGATGCCGCTGACGGGAGTGCACTTTCTGATGTGACGCGTCTTGGCTCAAACAATGCATCTGAAAACAACAAAGCAGTGAGGGAAAAGTTCACTAGATACTTCTGCTCCTCACATGGCGAAGTACCTTGGCAGTACAAGGTGGTATTCAGAAGCTGCATGCCTGAGAACTAGGTGCAATAACCCACTTAAAGGAGCTGTGCAACAATTTCAGGGCTTTGCTTAAATTATTGTGGAAGTTGATGCCTGACACTTCTGAAGTGAACTACAGAAAAAAGAGGAAATGTCCTAGCTTTTATTTACAAAAATGAAAAAGATCCAGGTTTTTGCCGCCTCTCAACTTGTACGTCGGCTTCCGGGTCACGTGCGCAGTGACGTTGAGGGGGTAGGCGCGGGGTTCCGGAAAAGTTCTCTCTTAAGAGCCATCAGTGAGGAGCGAGAACTCATCCGCTCGCGACGGCGTGACCACGTGCTGG